TGCTGCAAAGGCACAGGCAAGACCTCTCTAATAAAGAGTGCTACTAAACATACGCCTGCCTACACAGCCAGAGTCCCACTTGCAAAAAACTTTCTTCTTACACCTGGCATCAGTGTTACAAACATGGATTATTTCAGCCTTAAGAAAACACAATGTTGTGTCAGGAACACAAAACAGATCTTTTTTTTTTTTTTTCCCCCTAAGTGAAAGCATATGTTATTTACCGCAATCTTACAAAAAAGTTCCAGGTATTGGCTTTCAATCTAGCCCCTAAAACTAACTGGTAACACTTCAAAGAGATTAAAAAGACCTAAGCCCATCTGAAACTCTAGGGAGCCTGTTCACCCCTAAATTAAAAAGCTAGTTAAACTCCAATAACACCAAATCAGAGAGTCTGCAGAAGCTGGAGCCACTGCAGAAAATAATTGTTACCTAATTCTAAATGAGTCACGTTTAAATGCAGTGATAGAAGTGGTACTCTTAGCCTTCATCTGCAGTCAAGACTGTTAAGGCTTGTTATGGCTGTGTGTAGCAAGTTGGTCAAGTGAATATGATTTTGCTTCACTTTTGCTACAGCCCCAAACAGCTGCGTAGACACTGCCATCAAACACTGAAAGGGTAACAGCTGAAAAAAAACAAAACCAAATGAGCTGTCCTGGTAACATTTAGTAAAGATGGAAATTCTAACATATCCCTTGCTTTTTTCTGTTTTTTTTGAAGGGTCCCTAGTGACAGAAGACATTTGGCTACCTCCAGTATGGCACTTTCTCAGAGTTCAGAAACGAAACCACTGCAGTGCCATGTAATAAATAGCAACTGTCAATACAAATCCAAAACGCTTATAAGCTTTTTCAAAAACTATTTTTCAAGACATGGATCTAATAGAACATTCTAAAATGACGAATAAAGAAAACTTACAAGACCTTAAACATAATTCAAAAGTCATCGCAATGGATTTCCAAGTCTTTCTTTTTCTGAGTTATTTCAGATCACTTTTGGCAACAGTGCTGGAAATACTTTAAACCTTTGTATGCCAATAAATCAAGCCAACCTCATCCCTCTAATGCAGACGCAATGAAAATAGTATCGCAATGCTCGAATGAAAAGCACATCCATCTGCAAACCGTTTTCTAGAGATAATGACCTTGTAGCCAATTTCCACAGGTTACATGATTCCACCCCTTTGTCCTTTCTGCAGATTGGCTAATGCATTATGAGCCGCTGATGGGCCACAACACATTTCCTGAAAAGGGAATATTTAAGTATGAAGCATGTACTATCGGACTTTGAGAGTTAAATTAAAACACCAGAAAGTGCTGGGAAGGGATGATACCAATCTTATGGACCTTTTGTCTTCGGTGCCATTTACAAGATCTCAGAACTATATCCAGAACTCACCTTTTCCAGCTTTATACACCGGGGAGGATTTGAAAAAGGTTCCCAAAAGCATGCACTGATTTAAGTACCACACAACGTGGCACTGATCGAAACCTTTTGAGGAAACATGACTGACCCATCTTTACTATATCATAGTTTTCGTAAAATTATGTTTTTATTCATTTTATAATGCTGTTACACCACAATAGTAGCATGACAACCTCAACCTCTTTAGGTTGACTATTATCAAAGACAACCGTTTTCCCTCTGAGTAAAACCAGTCTTTTCCTTATACAACTAAACTGAAATGATTGTCTACTATTTTGTCTTTAAACTTCATTTTTAACAAAGTATCCCAGTAAGTCACAACTACAGATCCCAAACTGTTTTAGGTTTTAAGCAGAAATTTTCCTTTTTTCCTTCAAGCTCAGCGGGTGGTTGGATTGCCAGTGAGGTTAATTCCAATTAAAACAGATGATGAATTCATCTGGCTACTGCAGTGCGAGCTCACTGCAGACACCATCTGTAGTGTAAAGCAGGATAAATACCAAAGCAAACCAAGAGACAAATTACCTTGCCTGTCACATGCTGCTGTAGCCCCCAGTGTAGAGATATAAAAAGCCCTCTTCACAATTATTTTTCCCTTGTTAGAAAGCACAACCTCTGAATACTACTGCTATGAGTACTTGGCCGACTTGCTATGCAAAGAGGCATATTCAGTAATTACTCCAATGTAGATTAACATTCCCACAAATTATTCAGAAGCATAAAGTTATGCTGTTAAAAGTAAATAAAAATAAGGCCAAACCAGACTGTACTACCTTCACACACAAGTTTGTTCAAGTGTTTTTACACCCAATTATAGCCGTTAGTGGATCAGATGTCCATTCTTGCTTTCAAATTTCAGATCCCAAGATTCATTCATTCATTTGTATTTAAAATCGTTATCTGTCCACTACAAAAATCAAATACTTGGTGATAATTTAGTGCTCTTCTAGATTTTTTCATCCACTCTTTAGTGAGATTTGACTCCTCACTCTCAAACACAGGAGAGAACTACTGTACCTCTTTCACAGTCCTTCCTGCACACTGGCCTCTGCCTCCCTCTTCTAATCGTATCAGACCTGTACCGTTTTCAGCAGCCTCTACTAACTCCTTTCTCTCTTTCATTAAGGGTGCTTTCTTCTCATATACAGAATTCATTCTCTTGTACCTCAGTTTCACGGGCTTCAAAGCTTCCTCTCTTACAGTCATGACAAACTGCGATGAGCAGAGACTTACCTATGTTTGAGTGGACACCAGGTGCAATCAAATACACACGTCCCATCACAGGAGGAGGAATATCAAAGAAAAGCATGTGCTGCACCACTTAATATGGAGCTATTCTGCCCTGACCTACCAGGTGATATCTTGAGTTAGAGAAGTTTCGCTACTTCAGTAACAGATCAGAAAAGGTGGAGAGTGCACTGAGACAAGCCACATTTTGTATGTCAATTTCTTCACTGCCTTGGAAACTCAAGGGTACCATTTCAATATGTTTCTTATGCATGTTTCTTAAAAGCCCCACAAACATTTCAGTGTATTAACAGTACAAAAATCCCTGCCTTCCAGATATTTTGCAATTATGCAGTTAATATTATAAAAAAGACACGAGATCATTTATTGGCCAATCTAAAATATTTCACACACACACACTTCACTGACCTTGGAGGGATTGAATGGCATCCCTAAATACGAAGAGCCTCTGAATCCACAGCGATGTAAGTTTGATCCTGGAAAAGATGAAAAAATAAAGACTCAACTGACTTGCTTTGCTGAAGCACTCATCATTAACCATAATTCTCTAGTCAAGATCAAGACCTGTTCGTTCAAGACTATTCAAGACTGTTCACAGTATTACCACAGTTTGCATTTGTCTTTCAGTATGTTCCCAACCTCAGTTTGTTATCACTCTGATTAATCAAAAAACCCACAAACTTGATTTGCTGTAATGACAAAGCAACAGATTTTTTTGATTTGGTGGAAATACAGTGTTCAGAGCAGCACAGAATTATCTTTTGTGCTCAGAAAAAAAAAAAAAAAAAAAAAAGATTGCTCCCCTGGAAACATGCCCAGAGTCAACAGATTTTTTTTTTTGCTCTCTGGATTCCTGCCTCCTAATACCGTCTGTTCCCAAGCAGAATTGTTTTAAGATACTTTGCAACACGTACCAGGACAAACAAACTGTTTGCAGTTTTAAGTTAGCACCGTACTGTCAGAGTAAAATAGTTAAAACGATGTGAAAGGCAAATTTTTAATTTGAGCCATTTTTCTCTCACCCAAAACACATTGTAGCTATCAAACACTTCTGTTAGTGATTCACTATAATTTGTTCTAAATGTGTCACAGTACATGAGCATGTAGCACACAGAAGTGCGCACAGCACATTGTCTAAAGCTAAGTACAGGTTTGCAGGGCTCAAATCTGCTTCTGAACGGCAAAAACTCAATTACTTTACTCCTCGGCCTCTGAAAGTAAAAGCCTAATGAGTGCTTAGTTCAACAGCACTTGGGTATTTTTAAATTATCTCCTTTTTTTTTTTTTTTAGCCTTTAATCTAAAATTTTCATGGAGATTAGAGAAAATTGCACCAGACTAACCAAACAAGGATAGTAATAAAGCTGAAAGTCCTAAAAGCCATCACTATGGAATGAGGGCTACCAGTTCAGTGCCATTTAGCAACACATTAGCTTCTGATTTTAAATATATTTTGCATGTATGCAACATTTAAACTACAAGCTTTTAGTAGTCTAAGTACTTCAACACGGTTAAAGTACGCAGGTTTCTCTAGCAGACAAGTCTTTGGATCTAGTTTACGTGGAATGAACCACCTGCAATTCTTTACTTCCTTCATTTTTCAATCAAAAGCACTTTTTAATGATTCTACAGGCGTAATGAAGGTCTTTTCAGCCTGCACTAAAAACTAGTACGCTATAGTCATACGCACAAAGACAAAACGGAAAGAATATCTGTATCTGTAAATAAAAAAATGCATAACTGTTACATTTTGTTATAATCTAAATCTTCTCTGCAGAGAACATTTCCTATTAGCTTCTGGAGCCAAAAACTTGCATTTCATGTCACAACAGGTTCTGGAAAGCACAATAAATACTAGTCTTAAAGGACTAATCTAAGGTCCTGAAGGATACTGCCCAAAAAGCATCACAATTTGAAAAATGACACAATGTCAATGAAACAGTAAGAGGAGAATTAGAATTTCTACTTCTTAAATACCAGATTTCCTAGGTTACACTGTGGAAAAAATCACCATTCACTTGACCCATTTTCAGTAAAAATGGATCTGTATCTTAAGTGCTTAAGTAAACTATAAACTTCACTTTGAAATGGCACTAATGTGGAAACCCTTAATCCAGAAAACTGTTGCTAGCCTACTAACACACAGCTTTTCTGGCCTGGTGCAAATAAGAACGTGCTACAATTAGGACAGTTCTGCAGTCAAACAGAACTCAGTTGCTAGACGGAAGGGTTTGTCCCCCATCATCGGCCTTTTAGACTGTAGCTTATAATTCATTATCAAGGTAGGACTGGCAGTACAAAAACCAAGTGCAGTGTCTTGTTAGTGGGTCACTTTGACTGGCTTCTGACTTGACAGATACTATGAAAAAGAGAGATTAAGAATGAAGTACATGAAGGAAACCAGGATCTATTATTCCCTTTAGCTGTTCAATTTTCGTGTAATATCTTAAAACTTTTCTTGTACTACTAAACTGGTACCAACTAAAAACCAGCATTGGTAATTTTAAAATGCTGGATTTTTAACTGTATTGCTACCATTGATTTAAAATCTATTTTTACTCTTTACGTCAGTGACTTCTGATTTCTCATCCTAGACCTTACACAATGGCTCCTAGAAAAAACAGAAAAACAGCATGGCTCTTCAATATCCTTACTACTGCACAAAGGGAATTTTATTCCCTCCTCCAAACAGAAAAAAGCCTTTGTCATTAATGTGCATGCAATAGATATTTCCTAGACTTTCAGCATTAGAAGTGAATTGCTAAATTTCTAGTTACAATTCTTGAATTAAAAAATAGAATGCTGATCAGATAAAGGAAGTGTTAAAACAGGAAGTAAACCAGCTGATTTCTAACCAGACAGCATACTGACACCATGTCTCAATTTTTTTTTAGCTTCTTGTGAACACATAAGTTCAAAACCAAATGGGAACCAAAGGGAAATCATGGAAAACCCACTGTCTTTCACACATCACCTCATCTTCTCTTAAGTTTTGTTTTACTCTTATTGCAAAGTACTTGTTATCTTACGTAACAACTTAGTACTGCTAATCAAACTTTCATCTACTTTCCTGAGCCACAAACAGCCTGTCAGAATCAGAAATAGAATTAGAAAATAAGCATACCCTAACGAAAAGGCTATGAATACTTTATGTCCCTTGTACAAAATTGCTGGAGCGACCAGCTCAGCTCCAGCACACTGCTGAAGCATCAAGAATAACTGCAGTTAGGAAATGGTACCACCTAGTGTTCACTTTCAGAATGAAGCATATTTAACCACTCTGAAAGAGCTTAAGACAGAGCAAAAAATAATAAATATTTCAATTGCTGCATGACTATTGCAAGCTGAACAAAACGCACCTGGAAAAAACTTTTCACATTTGACAACAGAACCAAAGAAAATCAACCCTTTTCACACACTGAAAGACTCCATGCTTAAATCAAGAGCTGAGACTCTCCTGTCAAGAAAACCAGGTTACTTATATGTGTGTAGGCCATAAAGTCCTTCAGACATGTAATAGAGCTCCAAGTGATGACCACAGATGGCTTATCCTGGGACGTCATCTGTTAGAGACAGGACATTTTTGTTACTCATCTTTTATGATCTGTCTTTCATGGGAATATTTATTGATAACTTTCACCCTTACTTCTTCCCATTCAGGTAACCCTACACATTCCTCCGGTTCCAAGGCACTTCTCATTTTGCTAAGTACCAGAAGCAAGTTTACTTACATCATTAAAAATATATTAAAAAAACCACCACAGCTTTAACACAGTCAGTAAGACAAAACTAAGCATAAGCAATTCTTACTGAACTAGGGCTAAAAAACAATTATTCTCACAAATCAAAGCAGTAGAAGATATCAAAAAAACCGCAACATTGCATTCCCTAAAATGGAAGTCCATTATACATCCAGAAAAATACTTCAAATGTAGCCGTTAAAGAACCTTCTTGGAGTGAAATTCATTTCTGCTCAAGAAACTCATGATCAGAAACCTCAAAAGTAACAAGGATCGCAAAAATGACATTTTATCCATTTTTTTTTTTCCAGTACTGACACACAAATAAAGAACATAGAACAGTTTGGGTTGGAAGAGACCTTAAAGATCATCTAGTTCCTACCCCCCTGCCATGGCAGGGACACTTCCCACTAGACCAAGTTGCTCCAAGCCCCATTCAACCTGACCTTTAACACTGCCAGGGAGGGGGCAGCTACAGCTTTCTCTGGGCAACCTGTTCCAGTGCCTCACCACCCTCACAGAGAAGAATTTCTTCTTAAAATCTCATCTAAATCTCCCCTCTTTCAGTTTGAAACCGTTATCCCTCATCCTATCGCTACACTCCCTGGCAAAGAGTGCCTCCCCATCTTTCCTGTAGGCCCCCTTGAAGTACTGGAAGGCCGCTGTAAGGTCTTCTCGGAGCCTCCTCTATTCCAGGCTGAACAAGCCCAACTCTCTCAGCCTGTCCTCATAGGGGAGGTGCTCCAGACCCCTGAGCATCTTTATTGCCCTCCTCTGGACCCACTCAAGCAAGTCCATGTCTTCCTTGTGCTGGGGGCCCCATAGCTGAGCACAGCACTGCAGGTGGGGTCTCACCAGAGCAGAGCAGAGGGAGAGAACCACCTCTCTCGACCTGTTGGCCACACTTCTCTTGATGCAGCCCAGGATGCGATTGGCTTTCTGGGCTGTGAGCACACACTGCTGGCTCATATTCAGTTTTTCATCCACCCACATCCCCAAGTCCTTCTCCCCAGGACTGCTCTCGATTCACTCATCACCCAGCCTGTATCTGTGCTTGGGATTGCCCCAACCCAGGTGCAGGTCCTTGCACTTGGCCTCGCTGAACTTCATGAGGTTTGCACAGGCCCACCAGCCTGTCAAGCTCCCTCTGGATGGCCTCTCTTCCTTCCAGCGTGTCCACTGCACCATACAGTTTGGTGTTGTCGGCAAACTTGCTGAGGGTGCACTTGATCCCACTGTTTACGTCACCGACAAAGATGTTAAATAGTGCTGGTCCCAATACTGACCCCTGAGGAACACTGCTCATCACTGGTCTCCACTTGGACATCGAGCTGTTGACCATGACTCTTTGAACAAGACCATTCAGCCAACTCCTGATCCACTGAGTGGTCCATCCATCAAATCCACGTCTCTCCAATTTAAAGTCAAAGATGTCACGCAGGACAGTGTCTAATCCTTTGCACAAGTCCAGGTAGATGTCAGTTATCCACCAACACTGTAACCCCACTGTACAAGACCACCAAATTTGTCAGGCACTATATGCCCTTAAGTGAAGCCATGTTGTCTGTCACCAATCACCTCCTTATTTTCGAAATACCCTAGCACAGTTTCCAGGAGGATTTGCTCATGATCTTTCCCGCCACAGATGCCTGGCCTGTAGTTCCCCAGTCCTTCCTTTATTACAAATCTAAATTTAGACTTTGACAGAAGAAAGTTTTAGGTCCCTGCTGTAGTGTAATGGTTTTCAGCCTGTTATGCATGGCTCCTGGGGGTTCAGACCCACAAGTGAAATAGGTCTCAGCTCTCTCTCTTGGTGCCATTTCTTAGTACAGCAAAGCTAGTGAAGCATCCAGCTGTCAGTAGCACAGTCTTCTTCCCTTTCTCTTACTGGGCTGGCACTAGCAATCCCAGCCAACACAGTTCATCAATGCAACACAAAGCTAACTTCCTGTTAGATAAAAAAATGCATACTTTTCTGCCACTTCAACAAGCTAAATCAGCTCTCCAGCAGGGTCAAACAAGTGCCAGTGTTGCTATGGGGGAGGATGGTGGATGAATATGGCCAAGAAGTGTGCCTTCACTGTTGGTCTGCAATTAGCTTACTTGAGTACAGAGCTTTGGATTCACTCTCTTTTGAAAGTGCTGAACTGGTTTTAAATGTGACCTGCAAGAAACTGAGAAACGTCCTCACACTGCTAAGAGTTGCACTTTAAGATAGTTAAAATAAATTTGAAATTATGCTTTATGAGAGGAAAAATAGTAAAGCTCTGACATGACAAGAATCTTAAGAACAAGCAGTTGGAAGTGGGTCTTTTGTCAATCCTTTTCCAATTTCATCAAGACTTTAGAAAATGTCTTAGTCCAAATACATGTAATTTCTAATAAGGTTTGTAAAAGAGCACGACCCTCCTCAAACTGAAAAAGAAAAAAGCGTTTTTTCAAAATTTCAACTTCTTTCTAAAGGTAAACACAGCAAGGCCTTTCTGCACTGAACACACAAACAAGACAAAAACATGATTACTCATGGACCTAAGAAGAACATTTACTAAAAGTGAAGGAAAAGTAACAATGGCCAAAATCCATGGAACATAAAGCCAAACTATTTTGCAAGAGTTATAGAAGACAGGAGGCCTTTCAAATAAGCAGAAGACAGCAATGAGGCCAAGCATTTAGCTTAAGGATGGTAGGTTTCTGCGTGACGGTCAGCTAGTGTGTGTGACATGCCATTCTCTCCTATCTAGAATTTGTATGGAGTCAGTCTCTAAAACACTTGAGGTGAAATTATGGTACCTAAAGGACATTATTTGTTTGAATCATAGTTATAATAAACCCACAGATGAATACAGTCTGTCCTGACAGACCTTAATCTTTAGCTTCCTTTAGTGCATTTTAATTAGGCTCACAGAGTGTATATTTGCTTTCTTACTCAGCAAGATCAAGATCACACCACTTTGCATTCATGAGCTTTAGTTTCACATAAAAATTTCAGAGCCTACAAATCTCAGAATTGAAGCTTTCATTAGTCATCAGACCTATCACATATCAGTAAATACAAACATGTTACTTGAAGCTACCACAGTATATCATGAGACTCTGCCTAAGAAGTATTCTAAAACACGAAATTCTGAATTTTCTACCAGGTTCTGTAACGCCCTGCTGTGGTGGGCTGACCCCGACCAGCAGCTGTGCACCCACACAGTCATCCACTCACTTCTGCCTCTGGTGGGGAGAGATTCACAGATTGAGACAGACAGTTTGGTGGGCAAAGCAAAAGCTGTGGGCAGAAGCAAAGTGAAGGAGGAATTCATTCACTACTTCCCATCAGCCAGGCAGGTGTTTAGTCACTTCCCACAAAGCAGGGCCTAAGCATGCGTAAGTGTTAACTCAGGAAGATAAATGCCACAACCACAAACATCACCCCCTTTCTCCTCTTTTCCCAGAGCTTTTACTGCTGAAGATGATGCCAGCTGGTATGGAGTATCCCTTGGGGACAGCTGTCCTGGCTGTATCTGCTGGAGGAGAGGGGGTGCAGAGGGCAATACAAGAGACAGCTTTGATGCCGTGCAGACATGGCCTAGCAACTGCTAAAGCACTGGTGTGCTATCAACACTGTTTTAGTCATAAACCCAAAACACAGCAGCAAATGGGCCACTGTGGAAAATACGAATTCTGTCCCAGCCAGTACACCTACTATAATAGTTATTGGTAAAAATGAACAGATACTGAGTTTGCAGAGCATCAACTGTTCTGTCTCCTATCCATTGGAAAAATGACTGTAAGGCAGCAGTAGCTCTCAAAATAATTTGAATTTGCCAACTTAAAAAAGTGCTTCAAATAAAAAACAACTGAAGTGCTACGGATATGGAACCTTCAGAGGGACAAATATCAAAAGCAGAGAAATTTATTTTCCTGATAAGAGTTACAGGAAATCTCTTTTTGCTTATTTTAGGAATTTAACCAGTGACGTGATCAAAAAGAAACCCCAGGATTCTGTAAAAATATATATTCCAATTTAAAATGTAAGTTTTAAACAGGTTTTCAGTTCCAGAGCCAAAATTAATGAAGATGTGTATCAAGTACAATACTTAAGGCAAGATTACTGGAATTCATCATTCCAGAAACTGTATCATAAACCAGTGTTATAATTTAAATGTTTAAAAATAAATTTTCCACGGAAAGAGATTTATCAGCATGCATGTAAAGAAAGCTGTAATAGAATGTTTCTTTAAAAGCAAAGTAAAGTTGGGTTTTTTTTTTTACCTGGAAGGACTCTGATGCACCAGCTAGCAATTGTTCTCTTTAACTAGAGGCGCACAAGCATTTTGAAACCAAAAACTTCACCGCTGCAGCCTACCAGAGTTCAGCTACTTCTTCAAACAGGCCAAAAGAGGGAGTCAGAGCTGTAATGCTGGGAGGCTGCCAATTGCCAAATGTCGCACACAACCAGGATTAAAAACAGAAAGTTGATACATTTTATGGGAAGTAAACATGACAGGGGGGTACACACCGCCTTCTGCAGATTTAGTCATCCAATATCCAACTTGCTACTGTTGGTATAGTTTACATTTTACATTATCTATTGTCCATCAGATGGAAGTAACAACGGAATAAAAATAATGCTGAAGTTTTGGGGCCACGTGACCACGTAGAGTAGTGTTATTACCAAAAGAGTAAGAGCACAAGAAGAACAGAGGTTTTTATGATGTCACAGGAAAATACAGGATTGGAGGGAAGTTTGTTCTGGTGAAAAGAAGAGATTTATTACTTGAAAGCACAGAATGCACTGCCAAAAGCACCCTCCCCAAAACTACTCTCCTGTAGTTTTATGGTGGGATGATAGCTAGAAAAAGAAGGAGCACATCTCAGCTGTACCTTGGACTGCTAGCCTTCACATCTGCATGCTGAGATTTACACTGCACTCCCTAGGAGGCTCTTGACAATGGGACTATTCCAAACATTGGCTAGGTAGAATCACCGCACCCTGAGAATGACTGCATACTACCAAAGACAAACAAAAAAAGTGCCTATTCTAATCTCTCTTGCAATCTTCACTGTTCTTTCAGAATACACTCTTGAAGACTAGGAGAAAGAACAGAAAGTGAGCGACTTCTAAAACAAAGTATGTATACTCTGGAAATTTTTTTCTAATTGCTAAGGGACAGGAACCTTCTCATGATTAAAAATGTTGTGGGAATAATTATGTGATCCAAACCCTTAATTTTTTATATTCAGTCCCAGGATGAAACACAAGAAAAAACAAATGTATTTAGTTCTAATTCCTGGGGTGGATCTGATGGTTTGTAAGTCTCCAGAATAAGTCAAGTCATCTTTTCATTACTGTAAAAACCAAGCATCAGCAATCTTCACTTCCACATGCTCACTTCACAAAAATGCTTTTATTTTATATAACTGCTTTTAGGGGAGAGACACAATTTGGAGTACATACCAGACTAGATATTATAAGGAAACAGCATTTTCTTTCTAGAACCATCCAACACACAAAGTACATGCTCATGACATTACACATGGGCACCTAAATTATCTCTTCTCTAGAGACCAGCCTGAAGCTATCTCCACATCAGCATTTCACATGCCAGCACCCCTTGTAATAAAGCAGCAGTGCCTCACCCACAACTCCCTCCCTTCCACCTTCTCTGCTGCTATTAGCCATTCAACTGCGCTGCCACAGGAAAAAAAATTGCCAGCACCAACTAGCCCACAGAAATGGCACCTCCCTGACTTCTGTCAAGTCACCAGGAAAGAGACACTTCCTGTGTGCTCCCTCTCCAGCCTGAATCTGCCATGCACCTTCCAAGCTGAGGACAACTGGGATGCAGTAACAGCATTACTCCTAAAAACCTTAGGTAAATAGAACAGATTTCTCATTTTAAAGCAGGAACAGTGTGTATTCTTTTCGCTCCTTAACCTTACACCTCCCATTTTCCAAAGCTGTTCCAAATAACCACACCTGTGCTTAGAGCTCCTGGCATAGCTACAATTAGTGGAAGTCAATATAATCGCTATTAGACTTGTAATTCTTATGTAACATATGCATTTCTCAGAATCAGGTGAAACTTTCCTCTGAGGTGCTTAAAGTGCAACTTCATTATACTATGTTATACTGTCTTCAAATTAATTTCATAGTTTCACCTTGTACACATAAAAAAGCTAAACTAATTGCTTCTTCTAGCTTTATTACTTTAGAGGGAATCTATTTCTATGATTTGCTCAGCATCACTACCTGAAATTATGTGGACAGCACTTCAGGCAGGTCAATCTTGTCTTTTATAAAAACAAGAGCCATCCACTATTCCCCAGGTGAAATGCAAATGTAAAGATGTTAATATCAATAAAAAAAACTAAAAACTCACTCACTGTCTTCTGTGGGAAGGACCTGCAGGGAATAAATCCATTCTATTATATCATCTTTGTTCACCACATCTAAGGAATCCAACATATCCAGACCAGAGAGTGCGAAAAATGCAATTGTCAACCTAAAAGAAAAAGATAAGACTTACACTTCCCACCATAAATATCATGGGGAAATTAACAAACGGTTGCAGAAACAGAAATATCTACAAATTCTCAGCCTTTGACAGTGGTGCAACACATTAAGAGCCTAGCTCAGAAAGCATGAAATTTATCTACTGGACAAAATTATGTTCTTTGTATTGTAAACATTTCTCCGTCTCAACACAGCTTTTCATAAGAGCCACCCCTCCTTTTACATAGTAATGACATGTCAATTCAGACATTAATCTAAGAGCCTGCTTACCTGAAAAAAACACTACAAAGTAAACTAGGTTACTAACATATGGAACACTAGCTCTCTGTGACGAATTCTTACGTGAACAGTCCCCTAAATATGCAGTAAGTGCAAGGTAACCCTGAACTACAGCAAGCTGCCTCTCATTGTGTCCCAAACCAAATTTCAGGTGCTCAGAAATTAGCTGTCAAACAGCAAGGTTTCCTTTGTAACCAATCAATGTATAAATAGGCACACAGGATGAATTACCATCTGGAGGTATTTATTTCTTGTCCTTAGGTATAAAGGAGCCTAGATGACTTGTATTTAATGTATCTAAACTTTTAAAATTAAGAACATCAAATCCAAGTATCCAATACAGGAGTGAGGCAGCTAGGATGCTGAATGTCTTGCCCACAGCTCGTTTCCTTCCATAAACATGTGCTACCATACCTGTTAACTAACACCTTCTTTGAGGGTTTTGTTTTATCTCAAACCACTGCAGTCATCTAGCTTACAGCATGGCCCCTCAAACAGATGTATTATTTGCTCTGACAGAGCACCAAAGCAACAGCACTGAGTTAGGAACTTGAGATAGTTTGCTACGAGAGAAAATGTTCATGTAATGGTACCTTGGAAGTTCTGACTCAGATTAAAATTAGCTGGATGCATATTTTGCCACCCACACCCCCATCTGCCTTTTGCTCTTCCAGAACTTCTTGCTCTCCTTTCATCAGATAAGACAATGGATTGTGAAACAGCTGCTACACAGGCAGAAACTAAAGTTTAGCATGCCAAGGAAAGCCAAAAGTTAATGCCATCTTTCCTTAGAAGTCTAAGTTATAATTTGCAGTTACCTCACAGGCTGGTGAGCCACCTTGGCCACCAGTAGCAGGCACCTCTGAAGATGAGAAGACAGATGTGGACAGAAACAGCCACTTAATTTCTGCATATGGTTCTGCATCAGAGCCACAAAAAGTAAGACCAAAGAAAAATGGTGATGTGAGTTGGCCTGAAATACACCTCAAAAATAATTCTTCTAACTAAAACACAGCAGCCAAGTGACAATGCAGCAGACGCTGATCTCCATACAATGGCACAACCTCAAAGGCTGGTATTCCTACCACTGGGCTGACTGGCTGCTATCATCATCATGTGGAATTTAAGTCACAAGTAGAACTTAGGTCAACAACTTCTGCTTCAAGGCTGTTATTACTAGGATTACATAACATAAGCGGTGGTCGCAACTCAGTCAAATAATGATTACCTGTCAAGCTGCGGTTACTTGATTTTACACAGTCTTTTACTTTGAGCCTCAGCTTTTGCATTGCTTTTCATACTACTCTTAAAAAAAAAAATGTTTTAATCTATAATCTGTTTGGATATTGAACACTGGCATTCCCTATTCAAACAATCCCTCCATGCAACTCTAAGGTCCTTGCCAAAGAAAAACAAGTTAATAAAAAAATCAAACATGGAATAGCATACAGCTCCATTACTGCAAATATTCATGGCAGAAAGTGTAAACCCACTCTGTAATCATTGGATCGTACAATACGTCTCTTTACTATTACAATAAAGCTTTTTAGTATAGAAAGCCAAAAAAAGTATGTTGCACACAATAGAAAAAAAATGTGAAACCAGAGTATCTTTCAAGCCGTCTTTTAAGTCATCCAATGACTACAAAATTGTCTTTCAAAGTACAAAATTAACACTTCCAAGGCTTGTATCAACTTTTGCCATTGATCAGATCTGTGTGACTCTTGGTAACAACCCACTATTTCAAGGAAAATCACTACTTCTGTTAAAAAAAAAAAAAGGAATTTACTGTTCAGCTACAGTAAATGATTTCTCTGAAACCTTGTGTATATTTTTCAATTTTTGCAAACACCAAGTCTGACAGTATTTCACTGAAATGATCTAAAGTCATTTCCACACTATGTTACCCAGTTAAGTGACTTCCAGCAAGGCACAAAGGTGCCAACTTCAGCAACAGAAACTGCTGCAAACTAGGTCCAAACCAAGGCTGTACGTACAAGACACAACAAATCTCATCTATACTTAAAAATATATGTATCAGACAAACGAATGTAAAAAGTGGCTTTACATACAGTTAGGTTTCAGTTTACTTAGTAAGAGTTGATTCTCTGTGTTAACAGAACGAGCGTGAGTAAGGAACAGCCGTACAGTGTGTTGGAGTTGACATATGATGGGCAAGAATATCTGGCACCACTGGACATAGACAGGTCCTGATACAGCCACCTAGATACTGTGTCCTTATTCCATATGCTATCCTGCCTCGCAGAAAATTAACAGATGTGTGTTCTAAGACTAACAAAGACAACTCTTAGCAGCACCTTAGCTGACACATACCACAGTGTAAAAACTTCATATAGAGCGTTTTCCACAGAGGGCAGCTGTGGGAACATAATGGAATATTGGTAAGGAGGACTGTAAACATGACAAGCAAGTAAAAAGATTTCTGACGACAGATTCAGAGCTCTTCATCTTCAGGCACGGATAAAAACTACAGTTTCTCAGCAGAAATCTCAGAAAGCATCTGAAGTGACCGATTTGAGAAACTGAGTAAACGTGCTACAAAGAGCACCGTGAAGTACCACAATCTGGAAGATTTCAGAGACTAGGAGAGTTACATTCTCCTGCAAAACCTCACAGTACTGATGATCAGTATGTATGAAACACTGTCAATCAGATTACTTAAAAACTACTGTTGCTGACACTGTATGCAATAACTACAGACAAAAATAATTATGAAGGCTTTGAGCCAGTAAGTTGAGTAAAGAACATGAAATCAAATTTATCGTTGTACCTACTCCCTTACCCTTCGACAAACTACAGCTTAAGTTGGAATGGACCAGTACTATCTGGAAAATTTCATCCTCTACCACTCTGCCTGGTCACACCAAATGCAGTTGTTTCTGCTGCAGTGCAGTGAACCAAAACCAACTCACTGACAAATGATTATTTTGTTTTTTACAAGCCTCTCTTTTAATTTATTTGAGTTTCCCCATCTATTTCACTACGGAACCACACAAATGCAGGAAGAAGGGAAGCAAGGATAAAAGGGTAACAGCGTTTCTTTCTGCAGCAGTACCAGATCAGGCATGCTGAACTCTGTAACCCTGAACTTGTCAAAAAGGCAAACTTAGTACCCTCAAGGTCAACCCAGGGATTGTAGAATCACAGAATGGTTTGGGTTGGAAGGGACCTCAAGATCATCTAGTTCCAACCCCCCTGCCATGGCAGGGACACCTCTCACTAGACCAGGTTGCTCAAGGCTCCATCCAAACTGGTCTTGAACACTGTCAGGGACGGAGCGTCAACAACTTCGTTAGGCAACCTGTTCCAGTATTCATGGTTCAGTGCCCAGCTTAGAATTTGTTAACAGACACGTACGCACATCTGCAGAACACTGATCTAAAAATCTGTATAAGAGAACTGAAAAACCTCTGGCTGAATAAAAACTTCACAACTTCAAAAAATGCATGAGTTTAGATGATCATGGGGTTTATTCTAACTGAAGGCTTAGACTGCGCTCATTAGCCAAAAATTAAGGCATTCTGAAACAGTTCCAAATTGACAGTTCCAATTTTCAGAAAACAGTGTTTTTCAGTGCTGCACAGCCATTATGTACAATAGACTGGCTACTATGACTGCACATTAAATTTAGCTCAGACAGCTCATTAATTTCTCAAGAGTTCTCAAAACAACTAGCATTATTACTAGCATTACTCAGTCAGACTGGGGAAGACCCCACATAAACCAGAGCCTATGTTTCAGCTCAGTGGCAACAGCAGCACCTTGGCAACGTAAATCACAGAACAGAAATGTCCAGATTGTCAAGGGCCTCTGAAGATCACTGGTCCCACCTTCTGCAGCACGTGGGGCCTTAGATGAGATGACTCAGGACCCTGCAAGCCAAGGGGTCAAGGGAGACTCCATCGCTTCCCTGGGCAACCTATTTATGTGGTTAACTGCCAGCGGTGAACATTTTTCCTACATCCAGTCTTCCCTGAAGCAACCCATTCCCAGAGCCTCCTGCCCAGTCACCAAGGTCCCTTGTGCAGGATGTAAGTCTGTTTTTCTCTGCAACTAGTTTCTCAGTAATGGAAGACCCCCTCCTAGATCTAGGCTGAAGAATCCCTGTTTCTTTAGCCTTTCTCTGTATGTCAGTGTACATCAAAGCATCGGCTAACTCTTAAATGAATAAATGATTTACACCTCTGAAATCAGAATTTCTAACTTTCCTCTTAAATGTAAAGCTATGTGTCATTCCACACGCAGTTCACCACTACCCATATTAGTCCTTACATGTTTCTGCCAAGTGTTTGTACTCTGAAGTGAAGAGAAAGCTTGACTGAGCAGGAAGACTGGATCAAAGCTATTAGGCACTCTTCAAGAGCACGACTTGCAGGAGATTACAACGTGAAATGCATTTGATGGTTTTATTGGTTGAGATATTCAACCCTCTACATGTCCCCAAGTTTTTATCAAGTGCAGCTGGACCACCAAATTATTGATCCTGTTGCCCCAGATGTAATTACCTGACTTGAAGGATCTGAAACAAACGCATTCTGAAGCCATTAGAGACACGTGTCCCTCTAACTGAAAGTGAGGAACATACTTCGATAGTATTTTAACTCTTACTCTAGCTAATGAAGATTTAAGCTATTTCTGTTACATAAACAAGAGCCTTCTGCTTGCCGACTTTGAGCTACAAAAGGCTTA